TTAATTACTTTTTCTTAAAAAGTAAATATTTGAAGAAACAATGCATTGAATTGTTCTTTGAAGACACCTGCATGGGCAGTGTGCCAAACCCAATTTTTTTTAAAAAAAAAAAAATTCTAAAATTAATTGTTATTCACCAAACATCCCACCACCGCCCTGTGACTTTATCATCACTTGTCTCTTCTTTTACTTTTCTAAATTTTTTGAATTTTACTTAATATATATTTATTTTTGTACTATATAAGAATTAAATTTCTTAATTTTCACTTTTCTGAGGATTAAATACACCATTTAATGCAAAATAAAAGATTATTTATATTATTTTATAAAATTAGTTTTCTTTTCTTTTATTTTTCCCCTTTGTTTAATAATAAATTGCTTTTTTTTATCAATAAAATCATTATCTTAGATTTAAAAAAAAATCATAATCTTAGTTTAATGGTTAGCATGTTCATTTTTTCTATAAAAAATTATAAATAATTTTATATATGTTCTAGATTATTAACATTATTTTATAATCAGTATATATACATATATTACGTATTTGATTAAACTCATATATTATGTACTGTAATAAAATAAAAATTCGAATTATACTTATAAAAAAAAAGAAATAAAAATTTATACATAAAAAAAAATTTATTTATTTTTTTAAATAAATTTATTTATTAATTAAAATTAATAATTTTTTATTAAAAAATGAATGTATTAATTATATAATTAAATAATAATTAATTATATTACTAGAAAATTATATGCCATCATTAGAGAGAGCATGTATTTAACATGAATTTACAAGCAATTGAGAATGCATTATCATTTCCTATATTATTGAATTATAAATATATATAGTTGCTTATATAAAAAAGAATACTTTATATCATGACACAAAATCTTGGAGCCTTCGAAGCGAAGTTGATATAGAAGAGAAATACCTAAAAATAGTGTGTGTATTTTTTTTTTTTCATAGACGAAAATTATTTGTTTGTTTGTTTGTTGACCTTTTGTTTGAAAAAAAAAAAATTTGAAAGAAACCAACTGTATAATATGGTAATTCAAAGAGAGAATTGGCAATTGGATTGCCACCCATCAAATTATAAGCACCCAAAAATAAGAACAAGTTTCTGTTTTCAAAAACCAGAATTCTGAGGGAGAATTTTAAACAGCATTTTCCCCTTGAAAAAAAAAATCAAGAGGAACTGGTTTTTCCTCCATTTGATTCTCTGACTCCCGCTGGTGGGATCAGAGGATCATCTTTGTCTTCTTCCTTTTTCTATTGTAATATCATTAAATATATATATATATATATTATACAGGCATTATAGTGTGTAGAGTTTCCTCTGTACAAAAAGAAGAAAATAACAGAGGAGTTCTCATGGGGTTATGATAATTTTTTTTTTAGAGACAAAAGAGAGAAAGAGGTTTGGCGTTTAAGGGTATTTTGTGAGATATTCTGAGATGGGTATCTCACAGATTGATGGTAAAATGGAGGGATGGTTATATACCATTCGTCAAAATCGGTTTAGGCTGCAATTCTCGCGCAAAAGGTACTTTGTTCTTCAAGACAACTGCCTCAAAACCTACAAATCAGCACCCGTTTCTGGCAACGAGGTACCTTTTTTATTCCAATACGTTTTCCTTTCTCTTCTTGTTTTTTTTTTTTTTTTCTTTCCCTCTCTCTTTTTCTTGTGCATGATCCTTTTCATGGGTGTTTGTTGGATTATGGGATTGTTTGCTTGGGTTTTGATTACTTCTTGAATAATCAATATTGCAGAATGAGATGTGTAAATGTATTCTGTTTCGGTTTAGTCATTTGGATATGTGTTTATTGTGTTATTTTTAACCCTCATTAAAGATATTTGTATCTCTAAATTTTTTATACGAGCAGTCAGAAACTGATGATCAGATACACACAAATACATATGTGAATTGCTCTGAATAAAATTTGGAGCCAATTGTTGTCATGTTTTGTTTCTTGTCTTCAATTTTTAGAAACTGTTATAATATTTCTTCCTCTTTTGTGGTCCAACTTGATATTTAATAACCTGTATTCTTGTATGGGAATGATATTGCGTATATATTGCCACAAACTTACTTTTGTTCATATATAGTGATTGATGATTGAAGCCTGCCATGTTGACTCACTTATATTTATTGGCTTTTAAAGAACAGCCAGCAATTTTTGAGCTTCTTTCGTCCCTAATCTTTTAATGGCAGGGTTGTGAAGTTGATTCAACGGTTATAGGCTGAAGTCATCAAATACCTTTTTATTTACCTCAATCCACTCATTTAACTAAATTAATGTTCTACTTGGATGATAATGTCGCAATAAGCTCTTGTTACGTGATGGCAATGAGCATTCACTGTAGAATTTTGTTCTATTTATTTAACCAAAAGCTTTCTTTGCTCAGGAACCGGATAGAAGTGCAACTTTAGACACTTTCATTCGGGTGACAGACAATGGAAGGGAGAGCATTCACAGAAAAGTATGAACATCATATCCCATATTTACTTTTTAAAAGAAGAGATGTATTGTCATGTCTACATATTTTTTCACTTCATTTCAGTGTCTAATGATCGTTCACAACTTGCAGGTATTCTTTATTTTCACTCTATATAATACTTCAAATCATTGTGATCAGCTTAAGGTACAGTTGCATATGTGTCTATATATCTATACACACACACACATACACAAGTAGATGCATTCTACATAGATGCATAGACAGACCCAGATACACATAAATATTCCTAATATGTTGGTGGCTTATTGTGACAAATTACTTATTTGACAGTTGGGAGCAACTAGCCCAGAGGAAGCAGCAAGGTGGATTAGTGCTTGCATGACGCTGTGTTAAAGGTTCCACATTTTTTCAACTAACAAGCTACCTGAATAGGATTTCTTTGCCAAAGCCTCATATTACAGTATGTTTTTCAGGAGTCTCCATGTCCAGAAAACAATTATGTGGCTTGCTCCAAAGGATGGCCAATAAGGTGTGATGCTAAGTTTTCAATTCTGTGAAAGTGAATTAACTTAGATTTCTTGTCTTCCATTATGTTCTTTGAATGTTAAACGAAAATTTAGTAGTCCAAGAAAGTGGTCTTTTTATTTAGTAGAAGATTAAAAGAGAAGTCTTCTGTTCATCCTATTCAGTCTGTTGCCTTTCTGTTGTGCGATGTCTCAAAATGTTCGTCCACTTCAAAATACAAAAGTTGTGCTTTTGTTCATTTTGCAATAGGTTTCTGAATCAGATCCTGTATTACTATTTGTAGTGCCTGCATTCAGTTTAACCTTGTCAAATTTTCTTTTTGGGAATGTTGAAATCATTGTTTGGAGGATTGAACTCTTAATTGCGGATCAAGAAGACCCAATAATGTTTATTTTGCTGTAATACCTTTCAAATCCTTTGAAAGAATAGTGAATGTGTTTTAATTATAGTCGATCAACTTAACATAGTCACAGATTTGTTTTTCTTTTTTCTTTTCTTTTTTCCTTTTTCAAATTCTTTATTGGTTTTCCAAATTTTCTGAGACTCTCTTATATATATCAAGTTTTATTTCAATAGATTGAGTGTATCGAAGAGGACAGGACGTAAAAACTCTGTAGATTGGACTGCATTTTCGTCTGTTCATACTGAAACAGTGACATCTGATGTTGTTGCACCATCACCTTGGAAGATCTTTGGTTGTCAGACTGGTACGTCTTAGGATAGTGAGAGTCCAAGCGGCCAAAGAAATAAA